CCGAGGGTTGCGATCCCGTTGCCGGTCACGAAAAAAGACAAAAAAGGAAAAAAAAAAAAAGTACCTTGATTTTTGAATATTTAATGCAGATACATGTTGGTCAAAACTATATTGAAAGGTATACACAGAATTCTTGTTTCCCCTCTTGTCCTCTTGTCCCCTTACCTACCCACCCCCCACCCTCTCTAGATAATCTTTTTATATTTGTAGTCTCGTTTATCTTCCCGGTATTTATTTTTACAATCATAAGCAAATATGTATATATTTTTAGTCCTCCCTTTGCTAAGAGTAGCATACTGTAACACAGTTCTGCACTTTGCTTTCATTGCTTAATGGACCTTGACAATCTTTCTATATCAGTACATGGAGATCTTTCTCTTTTTTCTTTGTATGGCTACACAGTATTCCACTGAATGAACGTGCTGTTGTTTATTCAGCCAGTCTCCAATCGCTGGACGCTTTGGTTGTTTTCAACCTTATACAGATGTCATTTTGTACCTGTACCAAAGTATCTGTGGGTCAGATTTCTAGAAGTGGAATCACTGGTTAATTTTTCATACATATGGGCTTCCTCCTCTCCTCCCCGGTTCCTGTATGAGTAAGTGCCTTATTGGACAGAGGGCCTGCAGAATGTGCCTGTCTCCCGCTCTTGCACTGAGAGCTATTTCACCTCTGAACTGGCTGTAAAAGCAGCGTTCCTTGATGTTTTCAGTGATGTTTATTTTCATTTTATTATTAATTATAGTATGTGTCACACAAAGGCAGGAAGACCCAAATGTTTTCAGGTCACCTGACTGTAGAGCAAGGCCATTGTCAGCAGTTCACTAGCCGAGGTGGGCGCTCATCTTAGGGACTTCCTGTGTATATGTGAGGGTCTTCACTGTGTGTCTCTGAGACTGCACTTGGCTGTTGACACATTTGGGACAGTGAGTGCACGTGTGTTTTGTGGCGTGTTTGGGGGACAGCAGTGAATGGCAGCTGACTGGCCCTGCTCTGAGAGGACCATTGAGCCCCTCATCCTTGGGGTGTGGGGAGGGCAGATTCCAGATGCCTCCATGGGCTGGGCCTGACAGACCCCACTGGGGCCGGCCCACCCCCAGGATGGCTGGAACACCCTCAACTTTCTTATCGTCTTCATCTTGCTCATGGGGTTCTTCATTAACGAACTCAGTGTCAACAGTATCACCTACACCCTCAGGTAAGCCTGGAGCTCTGGAAAAATGAGGAGGGACTGTCTGGAACCTGGGAATGAGATGGGGGGGTCATTACCAGCTGGGGATCAGCTATGTCTCTCTGGACAGTTGGTGGGGGACAGTGAGAAGGGAGGAGTCTGGGAAGGGCCGAGGGGCACCCCTGAGAGGCTTTGCTACAGGGTGCTTCGTCTGGTACACGTGTGCATGGCAGTGGAGCCCCTGGCCCGGATCATCCGCGTCATCCTGCAGTCGGTGCCTGACATGGCCAATATCATGGCCCTCATCCTCTTCTTCATGCTGGTCAGTGCCCTCCCCCACCCCCAGCTGTTTCCCTTCCCTGAACAGGGCCTCTGGGTCATTGGGGATCGAGGGGTGTCTGGAAGAGAGGAGATGCCCATGGGCCTGAATCCCTGTGATTCCCTTGGCAGCATTCATTTGCAAGGCATCTGCAGGGTATTTGCATGTCCTGTCTCCAAGACCCTCGGGTAAAGTCAGGATGGGC